AAGAGCTGATAATCTGCAGGACTTATTCTCGAAGCTCGAAAGACATCAGTAATATTCGTTAAAAAATCATTGACATAAACTGAGACTCTTACAAATCTCATCTCTCAAGTAGTTTTTGAAACAAACATCTAGTCGTTCGTCGACCTCCCTCCTGCCGATCACTCACGACTAGCCCTTGCCACGCTACCTCTGTTATGCCTTTCACATTTGACTAACTTTTAAACTGAATAACTGTGCTTCATTTCCTTGTGGCTTCGAAAGTGCTGATCTTCCATGTATTTGATCCCGAAAAGAAAATAGATAAAAGTTTTATTTTATTATTTGCTGTGAAAAGAACACGCGTCATAATGCACCCTATGTTTAGAATACTATTTGTATAGACCATGTCTTTGTAGTTAATAAGATGGAATTGCACTTACGGGTATATCACTCTGACACATATTTCCACTAAATTCCTATTGGAAGACTAGACGTATCGCAGCCTAGAAGGCACAAATAGTATTAAGCTTATACCACTTTTTATGATTTCTTAGACTAGAAATATCATGATGTATGGTATATTAAATCTTCTTCTGTAAACTCCTAAACTACTCTATTGGTCCACATCACATCCAGCAGTAGCGTTGAAACCACTACCTTCTACAAAAGATTTTAGGACGATAGAGAAAAATATCACTTCTGAAAAAAAAAAGAAAGAAGCCGAAGGTTCGTGACTAAAAAAAAAACTAACGTCATATTTGAGTTCTTCGACCTTGATTATCCTTACATCAATCGTTTTCTAATAAGTATGGTTAGGTTTTCATTGATTTATAAAATGCTGCAATCTGATTGGATTATGCAAAAAAACTTTTTAGCATTTTAACGACCGTATTTTATACGCTGTAACTCTTTCTTGCAGAAAAGAGAATTAGAAACGAATTAAAAATAAACAACGAGTAATCGAGCTTTCAGAATCTGCAGAAATCCGCTAGGAAAAAGAAAGGATTTTGTCGGATGCCAGAAATGCTAAGAATCTTGGACTTTCGGCGTATTCCCATCGCATCCGCTGGAGTTTACTCGCTCTGAGCAACCATCCTTTAAAGCATAATTAAGACTGGGAACCTCAAACTTTACATTAGCTTCTTCTTGTGCACCTTATTTTTCGAATCTTATTCGATATATAGTCTATTGAAATGAGATCTTTCCGATCCATTATAAGTATGCGTGAACCTGTTGCTTTTCTGCGCTGAAAAACAGAACATCATGTGACGTACAGTAGGATGTCATTGGTGTTAAACATGGTATAAAGCTAAACGTGTTCATTGAATTGGAATAGAAATAGAAAAACAGAGGATATTATGGATAGGTCATTCTAATCGACTAGGCAAAAACTACTTTTTTTTACAAAGACACAAGTGGTTTGGTTTATGAGGTGAAACAAGTCTCTATGGTGTTTCAAGTATGCTGAACGATATAGTTCTAACATTTTAGTATCAAACCAGCGAGTTCAAGTGGCGGGCACTACTTATAAATTACATATGCATACTGAAATAAGTCTCATTGTGTACGCATTCGTTATCTTGAACTTGGCGATGGCTATTGTTGGAAATATTAGATCTAAACTGAAAACTTAACAACATTTACCATCAGAAGATGATACTTTTGAGCGAGAGCTCTCTAATCAGAACAAAGATGGGAGGATATTTTTCATGTGTTAGGATAGGTTTCTGCAACTACTGAGAAGAACATGAATTAATCCAAGCATGTTTACCTGACTTTAACAATGACAATTTCTTCTCACTATTTTTAGTGGTAATAAAAAGTGAGTGTATTCTCAGCTAAAAAGTTTCAGTATCGCACGGCGCGATTTTATTTGCTGAAAACAAAATACACATATTTTCCTTCTTTGATTACATCGTCGATTTGAATACGGGCACGCCCATCTTCGACTGCTTTATACATTTGTATATACAAATCCTGTCGATAGCATTCTATCAGACTTCGTGAATAATATTGCTGGTTGTTGCAAATTCTATTGTTTATCCACAACACATACAGACTATTACTACACGGTTGTATTCGTTGTTGGTACTCATTTGTAAACAAACAGAGACTAAATGTGCGCAAATGCCGTGATTAAAAGCAAGAATATCTGTACTTAGATGATGATCCTTTGCATACTTTCAGTCCACTCGATTTATATGAGTGTATTTTGACCAAGTGCTGTTTACTCCTTGCAAACAGGCGGGCTATATACATACCATTTCAGATACACCTCTAAACGTAGTAATACTACATGTATAAATTCAGTCTGGGGTGGCTCCAGATAGCCAAAATCCACTTCTGTTCAATGATCATCATCTCGTGCGAGTTTTCAATCACCGATACGTGCAGAGAACTCAAAGACAAGTATCTAACCCAAATGAAATGTACGTTCTCTTACAGTGTAATGTTAAAGAACACTACGAATATATATGTAATATCTTAGCGCACAGACTATGATGTTGAATTATGCACAGCTGAGCGGTTTCAGCTTTGTCATCATTCAAAAGATAGATCTCAGAGCAAGGGTACAATAGGTCCCTATCATTAAATTTCATACGACTTCAAACTTCTGAGCGTTTCAAACAGTGTCGAGATGTTCGATGTAAGCAAACCATAAACACAAAGCCCTGTTATCAGAATGATATACAAACGAGCTCGAAAATATATTTCAAAGCTCGTTCCACGATAAAGTACTGCAAAAACACTTTCCTGATATTTTAACATGAATAAGCACCAAGAGTGAATAGTGCTGATCATATTCGACAAAATAACTTGTTTTCAGACTACGCTGATGGTGGGAAATGATTAATCTAACAGAACGATTGGGTGTGCTATTTTTTAATTATTCTCTCTTCACTATGCCATTCTAGTCAGTTTATAACAGTGTTTCTTTCAGAAGCACCGTAGAACTCATACATAACGGATGAATACTACTCTCTCCAAAAATGAACAACAAAAAGAAATAAAACCTCCTCATCAAACAAACAATACATTTAGGCGCTGGAATAAAACATGCAACAGCTTTCTTATAATGAAGAATCGCTGCCATTCAGTGTACCACGCTCTGATCACTTTGCCATCAGTAGAAATAACATACAAACTGCACACGTGCCCTACTATCATCGATCCCATTCTTCTACATCTCCAATATAGTCGGGCTGTCTACAGCAATGTTGTCTTGTCCATCACACCCTGCCAGAAACAAACTCTAAACCGAGAGGATCATTCATAAACGCACCGCACTATGGCGTCTCTTCTACCAAACACTGCTCCGTTATACCTTCGTAGCTAAACCATTCATTTTGACTAAGGCACATGCATTTCTCACAGAACAAAAAGCATTAACATTCAGGTAACATTCACTTCTCACAATCATATTCGTTTACTATACCTTTACTACTCCTCGATGTCATGATGACCACACAGAAAATGATATCTACTAAGTTCTCAATCGAAAAAGATCTGATCAACACAAAGAGCCATCAAATCCACGATCACTTGTTCTCCGATTGAATTTAAAGCCAGATCTATACCATCTTGGCGCTCTAAGAATGAGACAAAACAGGAATTATAAACTTCTTCGGCCACAGCATCAATCTTACTATATTCTTTCCCAATGCATCTGCAATATGTTGAGCTATTTCATCACCGATATGGTTCACCCCGAGAGTAAGTGTCGTGAGTCTCTGTATGTATGAGATAGACTGAGTGCTTCATCTTCTATAAAATGAGATCAATATTACCATATTCGTTCGCAACGCATCCGCAATGTGTTGTGCTCCTTCATCACCGATTCCGTTCCAACTGAGGTTAAGTGTCGTGAGTGTCTGTATGTATGAGATAGACTGAGTGCTTCATCTTCTATGAAATCAGATCAATATTACCATATTCGTTCGCAACGCATCCGCAATGTGTTGTGCTCCTCCAGCACCGATTCGGTTCTCATCGAGGTTAAGTGTGGTGAGTGTCTGTAGGTGTGACATAGACTGAATGCTTCATCTCTAATAAAATGAGATCAATATCACCGTATTCGTTTGCAGGGCATTAGCAATGTGTTGTGCTCCTCCAGCACCGATTTCGTTATCACGCAGGTCAAGTGTGATGAGTGTCTGTATGTATGAGATAGACTCAGTGCTTCATCTTCTATGAAATGAGATCAATATTACTGTATTCGATCGCAGCGCATCCGCAAAATATTGTGCTCCTGCAGCACCCATTCGGTTCCCACTTAGGTGAAGTGTGGTCAGTCTCTGTAGGTGTGAGATAGACTGGGTACTGCATCTTCTTCGAAATAAAATCAATATTACCGTATTCATTCGCAGCGCATCCGCAATGTGTTGTGCTCCCCCAGCACCGATTTCGTTCCATTTGAGGTGAAGTGTGGTGAGTGTCTGTAGGTGTCAGACAGATTGAGTGCTTCATCTCTAATAAAATGAAATCAAAATTACTGTATTCGTTCGCAGCGCATTAGCAATGTGCTGTGCTCCTTCATCACCGATTCCGTTGCACCAGAGATGAAGTGTAGTGAGTGTCTGTAGGTGCGAGACAGATTGAGTGCTTGATCTCTAATCAAATGAAATCAATATTACCCTATTCGTTCGCAACGCATCCGCAATTTGCTGTGCTCCTTCAGCACCGATTCGGTTCTTATCGAGGTGAAGTTTGGTGAGTGTCTGTAGGTGTGAAATAGACTTAGTGCTGCATCTTCTATGAAATGAGATCAATATTACCGTATTCGTTCGCAGCGCATTAGCAATGTGTTGTGGTCCTTCGTCACCAATTTCGTCCCAACTAAGGTGAAGTGTAGTGAGTGTCTGTAGGTGTGAGACAGATTGAGTGTTTCATCTCTAATAAAATGAGATCAATATTACTGTATTCGATCGCAGCGCATTAGCAATGTGTTGTGCTCCTTCAGCACCGATTTCGTTGCCCCAGAGGTCAAGTGTAGTGAGTGTCTGTAGGTGTGATATAGATTGAGTGCTTCATCTATAATAAAATGAAATCAATATTACCTTATTCGTTCGCAGCGCATTAGCAATGTGCTGTGCTCCTCCAGCACCGATTTCGTTATCATGCAGGTGAAGTGTGGTGAGTGTCTGTAGGTGTGAGACAGATTGAGTGCTTCATCTCTAATAAAATGAAATCAATATTACCGTATTCGTTCGCAGCGCATTAGCAATGTGCTGTGCTCCTTCATCACCGATTCCGTTGCACCAGAGGCCAAGTGTAGTGAGTGTCTGTAGGTGTGAGATAGACTGAGTGCTTGATCTCTAATAAAATGAAATCAATATTACCTTATTCGTTCGCAGCGCATCTGCACTTTGTTGTGCTCCTTCATCACCGATTCGGTTCTCATCGAGGTTAAGTGTGGTGAGTGTCTGTAGGTGTGAGACAAATTGAGTGCGTCATCCCTAATAAAATGAAATCAATATTACCCTATTCGTTCGCAACGCATCCGCAATTTGCTGTGCTCCTTCAGCACCGATTCGGTTCTTATCGAGGTGAAGTGTGGTGAGTGTCTGTAGGTGTGAAATAGACTTAGTGCTGCATGTTCTATGAAATGAGATCAATATTACCGTATTCGTTCGCAGCGCATTAGCAATGTGTTGTGGTCCTTCGTCACCAATTTCGTCCCAACTAAGGTCAAGTGTAGTGAGTGTCTGTAGGTGTGAGACAGATTGAGTGTTTCATCTCTAATAAAATGAGATCAATATTACTATATTCGTTCGCAGCGCATTAGCAATTTGTTGTGCTCCTTCAGCACCGATTTCGTTGCACCAGAGGCCAAGTGTAGTGAGTGTCTGTAGGTGTGAGATAGACTGAGTGCTTGATCTCTAATCAAATGAAATCAATATTACCTTATTCGTTCGCAGCGCATTAGCAATTTGTTGTGCTCCTTCATCACCGATTCGGTTCCTATCGAGGTGAAGTGTGGTGAGTGTCTGTATGTATGTGCTAGAGTGAGTGCTTCATCTTGTATGAGATGAGATCAATATTACCGTATTCGTTCGCAACGCATGCGCAATGTGTTGCGCTCCTTCAGCACGGATTCGGTTCCGTTGGAGGTTAAGTGTGGTGAGTGTCTAGAATGAAGTGGTATGTAATGAAAAGCGGAAGTAGTAAAGAAAACGTTTGATGACACTTCGGATGGTATGTATGTTATTTGAAATAGTTATGTGTGGGGTAGAGTTTTAAGGAGGAGTTGGGTGTAGATGTGAATTCTTCGGTTGGATGATGATGCTAGTTGTAGTTCCAGAAAGAAGTGTTGTGTCGGCAATTTAGACTGGAGATTACTGTGATAGGATGGAGTCGGAAAGAGTAGAACATAAGTTTTAATATGTATTGGTGGTAATGAGATTTCTCTTTCGAAGACGCGGTCCAGTGAAATCCAAGTCCTACTCTTTTGAAATTTAGGAGCTGAACTTGATGTACCCGTGGTGAGTATTAATATTGGCATAGGTCAAAGAACTGTACAGTGGTGTTTGCTTCAGTAGATGAGTTCCGTCAAAAGTTGTAAGTGATGCAATTTTTTTGTCGAGTAGTGCAACGCAGAAACAGTAACGCATAAGTAAGCGTTTTGCTCGTTCATGGTCGCGTATCGGTCGAATGGATCCTCAATATACATAGAACAAATGGGAGAGAGTGATGGAATACTGGATTTCATATGACTTCTGGCTGTGATTGCCTCATACTAGGAAATCGTTTGGGAATTATGAAATTAGTTTGGGTTGTCCTATGAGGGAATCTACGATATCAAATACTATTAAGCTTATGTATAGCACACTCGACAAGAATGTTAGGATACGAAGTAAACTTACTTGATATCGCTGGTAAGTACTCAAGATCTGATTGAGCCGTCGACAGATATTTTGCATTGAACAAAATAGCGTCCGGTCATTTTGATGATCCATAATTCGATAAACTAGTTCGACAGGTAATGTGGAAAATGTGTGCATGTTTGTATTTCAATCGTGCAGCAGACCGTACCGTAGAGACTTGAAGGGATGAAAAAATATTTGGTTTTGTTCGTTACGAGTAGTAATTCATGGTGATTATGTAGTTATATATGTTTTTGACGAAAACAAATGACGTGTAATCATTTCAACTGATATGAATTGTTGGCGTGCACAGATAGATGGCATTAGAATACGTATGCGCAGTGAATTCTGTTTTCACAGTTACAATGGTAAATTAAAAAATTGAAAACAGGATATCTTTTATGGCTTTGGCTCCTTTAGAAACCGATTCTAGTTTCATGAAAAGAAATCAACATTTCTAAATTAATTTTTTTAACTAAAAATTGTAATGGAATATGAAAAACTCTGCAGCTTAGATTAGAGATCTATTTTTATTATGTATGTTTTGTTTTCGAGAACACTAAATGTTACCCAGTCAGTTTTCACTGATTGTTTTGCAATATATGACGTTGTTAGTTAAAAGAAACAGATGATTGTAATAAGTTCGACGATATAGTTTGCTGATAGAGCTTCATGCAGCGTCCCTCAGTGTGTTTGTTTCAGTTTTTCAAATCTTATTCGATGATAGATAAAACAAAAATACAAATGATCGTTTCTCAACCTGAAAAAACAGTCACATGATCTTTTATTTCTTTTTAAAGCCAAAAACTATAAAATTAAGCTACGGTTTACTGCAGAGGTGACGTTAACTAGAACATTTAAAGTTAAGTTAAATTGCTATCCCTAAACTGCGTATCTGATTTTTGTGGTGAAGGGTGAGTTAGAACATTCATTATCTTTCATATGAATAGAATGACAGCTCCTTCATCGAGATGCTCTAACAATTTGCTGTCAATTCATTTTGATGAATTAATTACCCTATGGTATTTTAATAAATAAGAAAACGTGGAAAGCCTTCGAAACACTAAATGTTATCGATTCTCTTAGAAAACAAGACGTTTAGCTTATTGGAAAAGTTAAACCGCTTTTCAATATCCATAAACAGGTGGTTTTAATGATAATGATGAAATCTACAAGAACGCTGTAGTATCTTACTTTAAAACATCCATATTCCTGCTATCAGCTAACTTCCGATTAGTTTCTTACAATATAATAACTGTGATATACAAATGCGAGCAGTTACAACGAAGGGCAAAAATAGTACTTGATGTATTATTTGGCTGTGGAGGATAGTATTTTATGTAAAGCGTGCTATGTTATATCGGTTTCATAATATTTTACTCCATGCTTTCTGCAATAAATTATGAAACGAATGGAACTACATTGTTCTAGTACTTCAGCATCGGTTTTCCTTTGCTGAAACACAGATTGCCTATGTGATTTGCCTGAAAATCTATTTTATTCCTTAATTGATGCGCATTCATAGTCCCTCTTACTAAAATTATTTTCAACGATTTGATTTCACTGGTAACATTAACCCCTTGGGAACAGGATTATTTTTAATAGACCAAACAAGACTTTACACACTCTGGTGGATGCAAGAGACAATGTGTGCGAAGATAAATAAAAATAGACAATAAATGATAGCGGTGGACTATGACATAGCGAAAAATTAGAAGTGATGAATATAACTACAAAAAGATGAAAGAGGTCACTATACGAATGATAGTATAATACATTAACGATATATGTAGTGGCATAGATCATTAAAATATCGTAAATAGTATACGCAAATAAATTATGAGTTGATTTCAACCCAGACGTATACATACGTCATCCGTTCTCAGGGGGTTAAAAACAGACAACATGGGATGAATCCAATACATCTTATAAATTAAATTTCATGAACATTGGATATCACGAAATATCAGGTGTTATTACTCGTAGTTTCTCAATTACACATCATGTATATACGTTACCCTTTGATTTTGGAAAGCTTTGCTTTATTGACAATATAATTACAAATACCGTGTTCAATTACGTTATTGAGCTATATGTAGCTGACTGGACGTCATTTGAATATGCTCTTTTTTCTTAGAATAGCTAAAACTTTTCCATTGGTAAAAAACCTTTTGTATTTGGAATACTACTCCGCAGTCAAATAATGTGGAGAAATAATCTGGTAGTAATTCAGTCGAATGAAATCGTTCAATAGCATCATCTTACCTCACTTGAGATTGGAACAACTGATATTACTTATATCTCTTGGTTTGAAAGGTTATAATGCATATTTTCCTTTATTGTAGATTAGTTTTCATTGAATGTATTTGCCAATCTGAGTCAAAAATAAACTTAATTGTTTCGTTTGCTACTACCAACAAGTAGCGCTCATCTGTTGGATTCGCTGACCCTGTTCTGAAAGAATTACAAGACTCAGATAAAAACTCTAACGTATATCTCACTCTAATCCGCTTCGAATTAAACCCACTTTTATGCACATTCTTTTCTTTTAATCCTTTTCTACTTTATTTATGTCAAACTGCTTTCAACTCATTTGTCCAAAGACGTGAGCAAAAGGAACACTGTTTCTAAAGATTTACTAATCGATTCTCTTCCCACTATTTACAATCAAAAATCAATTTACTTACACTTATTTTATCTCTTCTAAGCCACCCAAACAAGCGCCTGGTCGCTCGTCGGTCTGCCCTCAGTCAGCCACTCGCAACTAGCCGTTACATGTCCAACTTTCATTCTTTCATCTAAGCTTAAATTCCGTTCGGTAATATTATCAATATGCTGATGAGTATGAGTATCCAGCAGTCGGACGTTAATCAGCTATTTCGTTTTGTTCTACATATTGCTGCTTCAAACACTATCGCCCACAAAAAATCGTACTTTTTCTGAAAAAACAGAACAGAATTTTTCTACAGAAAAACTAACACCAGATTCGATATCTTCGACCCCGATTACCCTTATTCGGTCGAGTCTTACTCAACAACCAAAAAATTTTTCATTGCCTAATTAATAATTAACTAATTAGCTGTTTGAAGTCTCGAAAAACTGATATCGGATTCGAGATCCTCGACCTCGGTTACCTCGTCAGTGGTCAATCTTTGATGATTATAGATAAATTTCATTGATTTATAATATGCTGCAATCTGATTGGATTATGCAAACAAACAAACTTTATGCATTTTCACGACTGTATTTATGTCGCTATAACCCTTTCTTTCAGAAAAGGGAATAAACATTATATTAGAATAAGAAACACAGAGCAGTGAGACTACTTTGAATGAAAAAATTTTAATGAATAATTATATTATCGGATTTTTGCGGTGTTTTTAACCTTCGAGAGGGATCAAAGATGTTGTCGTCCTCATTTAGTTATCAATCATTGGCCTCTATGTCTGTTCTTTGTTCATTACAGGCGATCAGCAGTATATATGGACGCCCTTGTACGAAAAAAAAAGTGGGATACAGTTATTTTGGACGGTACGAAACCACCAATCAACAAGCATTTACGCAAAAAATTAAATAGTATTCGGAAAAACCGGCTATCCATCACCACCACCACGATTGATTCAACTGCACCGCCCAGGTCGAACAATCCCATACTCGGATCCCATCGGATCCAATATAGGATTTTATCAGATCCTACAGGAATTCGATGGTCTCGGATCTCGTCGGATCCGAAACATGGATTCCCTGGATTTTCTAAGGGTCATCATAGAATATAGCTAAAAAGATCGCTCATAAAATTTGCAACAACCGACGGGATTTTTCTAGTCGGATTCCAATACAATTCCGTTTCCAGGAATCCGATCGGATCCAGCATCGGATTTGTTGACCTGGGCGTTAGCCATTACAAGTAATCACATATTACATAGTCAGTTGTCCTATCCACACTTGTGTGGACACTTCACTTTACGTAGTACCTTTTCTCACACGCAATGCTGTGTGTGTATCGGGTGTACATGTTTGAGTAAAGCAGTGCGCATAAATTCTGAATGATCTTCTTGTTGTTTATTTTGAGAAAGGAGGTGGGAATAGAAAATTGTAGTAGTATTTTCTTTCAAATGATAACCGGCCTTTTTTATGTTTAGAAGTACCAGTGGGCCTACCTCACGTTCGTGCGAAAAAGGAATTACTGATGACTCAATAAGTAACCAAATAGAACAGTAAATTCTTACCAATCCCAGGTCGATCATTCCGGCGACTGGATCCGTTGAAATCTGAGCCGGTTCCGGTACAGCTCTTCTCGATTCCGGCCGGAATCCGGTGGTAAGGAAATGGCCGGAAGCGACCGTGCCATAGTAACCTGGGAATAACAAAAAAGTGAGGCTTAGTACTTTCATTTGATTCAGTTTGACATTAACTAATGATATTTCACCTGCAAAAATTGATCCAGTTTTAACTTATTCCACACCAGTCAAAGTGGATCAACCAATTATTGTTTTATCGCCATCGACTAACTATCCATCAATAAACGATAACATTTTACCGTTCACAAATGACAGTCAAGCAAATGACATGAAACTGGTTTGTGGTGACGAGAATGTTATAGACGACGAGTCAATGGAACAATATGATGTTGAAGACAGTTATTTGGAAAATTTAAAAGAAGAGATTGATGTTTTAGTGAAACAATTGGATGTGCGAATGACCACAATGTAGGTCAGAATTGACAAAACAACTCGACAGCTCAAACAAATGGACCAAGACTTCGACGAATTAGTTATTATGAAAAAAAAGACAATCAGCGAATTGAATAAAAAAAGTAAAAGAACATTAGTTCATCATCGAATTATTTTCTACTATACTATAGACACGATACAAATCGAAAATCTTTAAAAAGAATGAAACAAGCCACCAGGATTAGTCGTCGAAAATAGATGGCTTGGTTCATTTCATACATATCTACAGACTGGTGAATATTTTTTTTGTTTATGTGAACATATTGTATAAAGATTACATGAAAATTAAATGGAAAGACTCTCATACCTTAGATGAGTACTCAATTTATTGTTAAAAAAACTTTTTCTTCAATAAAAATGAAGCTATTGTACCTAAGGATTATTCATTGTGACAATCACTGGTTGGATACGTATCAAGAACAATCTATGTTTTATAGATGACTTTAAAATAGTTCCATATAGGCCTAGAAAAGTAATTTGAATAACAGAACTATTCCAATCATTAAATGGATTTTCAATTTATTGATGAATAAACGACTGTTGTACTTGTTCGTTCCTTTAATGTTCACTTCATAAAAGAAAATCAATTTTATTAAGTCAGTTCATATTTTTGTAACAGGATCTGTTACTAACCAAGCTTCAGCAGTATCCGCTACCCTTGTTGGGCCACTTGGACTTCTCGGCAAGGCGACAAGAGTGCTGTTCTTTACTATCAAGTGTACGAGCACGAAATTGACCTTCACTCAATAATACCATCAACTATTGCAGGAATGCACCTATTAGTATTGTTTGTCGACTTAACTCGTGCGAAAATTTCACAGTTAAAAACATGAACTGCATTCGTCTTCAATGAATAAGAAAGAAGGTTTCTTTTGCGAAATTGAATTTAGACCTGTACTAGTTCGAAAACTTGCCTAAGAGACATTCTGAAGGCAGTAGATTATTTCAGAAACTAAAGGAAGCTTAATTAATTCATTCGCAAGAAAAAAAAACATGAAATTTTTGCCGAATTCAACGTATTGAACACTCTTCGCTCATATTATATCGTTCAGTTACACGATGCTTATTTAGATCAAAACTTTGCTCGTATCTGTACTGAAATTCAGCAGTGTTATTTTAGAACTTTCACAAAACGACCACTATCAAAGGACTTTCTCGACTATCTTCTCTTCATGAAATATAATCATACCAAACAAAAATCATACAATCGCTGCTGCTCGATCGCAACTGAACTTCTCTTCTTCAAATGTTTATCCGTTACTATGTTCGAAAAAGAAACAGTGCATTTACTTCAATAGCCTTAAACTGAATCGTAGTTCCTGTTCCTTATTGTTTATATGGTAATATAGAGATAGTTTTATTATAAAACAGTCTGTTTTCTATTCATTATTATCATTTGAAATAAAAACAAACACCAAATGAAAAAAGAAACACGAGACCGGTTCGTGTTGTCATTTTTTTTTCGGCCCTCTCGTATTTTATCATTTACACAAGCACACTGTATTTGAAATAAATATATAGCACAGAAGAAACGAACTCTGCTTATTGAGCAAGATGCCATGAACCAAAGAGAAGATGGTTAGAACGTTTCTTAAATAACCGCCAGTAGAATTTGAATAAATTCGAATTGAAAAAGCCGATTAATAAAAGAAGAATGAAGTAGAACAGTAAATAAAGATTGTAACGATGAGTGGAGAAAAATGTTCGTAGACGAGATCTTGCCACTTGATCTAATCTACAAATTCAAAACAAACATTCATCTTTATCGAAATCAAAGCATCATTCCTCTTACTGCATTAGATCGTTTGGCTCTGAATAAATAAGAACATATTTCATTCGCACAAGTTCGTTGGAAGTTACTACAACATATTTCTCAGGTACAGCGCCAGCCTGTGTATCACTAACAATTCTTCGGTCTTGACTGCTTGTCGTTCCATCTAAGATCACATTTATAGTATAATGCAAAATGCAGATTGCTTCTTACTTTCGATTGCACATTTCACATGATCTGGATGATCAATAATTTCACATAATAAGAGGCAGCTTACTCTTTTCCCTAAAAGGCTATTTGCCCAAACACTAGCAAACGGTGAATAATGTAAAGAAACGGACGGTTCTAATGAGAAATACGTTCCTGAACCGAATAATGACAGTTTATTCATATGTCCAAGAAAGCCAATATGAAGAATTGAGTGAAGATTATCCAAACGTGTGCCATGATAAGCATAGAATGTTTTATAGCGATCATTTTCTGTTAAATCATGAAATCGTTCGTTTCGAACTTGATTATAATTGATTTCGAATGCAAAATTCGGTTTTGGAACTGACAGTTGATGTTTCACATGTGAAAGAGCCTATAAAAAATACCATCGACACATCACTCATCCTTTATTACATTACATGCTCAACTTACTGTTTCTACAGGTACAATATTTAACTTGAATGTATCACGAGTGAGTAGCCAGTTGAGTAGGAAAACTTGTAGATCATTGAACTGATCGAACACGGAAGCAAATGCGGTAACAGGTGGTAAACGAAAGACATTGTGCTAGAAAAAAACGAGATATTACATTAATTAATACTGTGCATTGTATTCGTACCAATTCATCATCAGTAAGTCCAACTAGAAACGACGGGCAGGGCTTGAAAACAGTTTCACGTTTGTATGATTCAAATGCTGTTCGTAGTAACGTTAATTGTAAATCAAATGTATGCAATTCGGATTGATTCAACGCACTCAAACGTTCGAAAAGTAGTCGACGTTCTTCGTCAATATCTTTTCCGGTGGACATCTTTGATCTGAAACATATGATCAAATATAAATAGAAAATCAAAGAACACGAACGCAAGTGTTTGGGCTTTTTTGTCTGTTTCTTAAAGACAAACGAACGTTTAAGTGTATTGTCTGTAAATATGGTAAAAAAAAAGAGAAACATGGATTGCTATACAAAAAAATGAAATGAAATGAAATAAGCAGAACATGGATAAGGAAGAGTGTGCTGATTTCTTTTGTTGAGAATAGAATACGCGTGTCTTTTGTTAAATGATTCTTCTGTTTTACTTTCGAGCACAACAACAACAACAACAATAATAAGGTGAAGTAGAAGAAAGAGGAGGAAAATGTGATACATATACACAATATCAAATAATGAATGATGTGAGCCAGAAAAAAACACGAAAAGAACAACTTTTCTGTTTTAATCAACACACATACACACAACAGCAACAGAGCGAAAGGAGGAGAAAACTGAAGCATAAAGAACGAATATGTGTGAAATGAGAGTGTCAAGCGAAAATGAAAGAAAGAAAACGCCAACGAATCTGTTTATATGTGTTTCTGCTTCATAGTATCATCATTCGGACCAGCTGGTTTTGAATAGTTTGAATATTGCGGATGATGTGGATATGAAGGACGATTGTTGTTCGATTGTGGGGGTAATAATGGTTGACGCTGTGGGAACAGTGGTTGAGGTTGGGAAAATAGCGGTTGAGTATTTGTCATATCGTTACCATTATTTGGTAAGTTCTTAGATAAGCCAGTCGTTAAACTTCGTACTTGTTGATTTTGTGGGCGATTGTTTGCTGAGTTCATTCCACTGATAGGTACTCCTTGTCGGTTGAATTGATTTGGCGGCGGAGGATAGAATGGAAGCTGATTGGATGACGATGTTTGTTGCTGATTAGTAAATAGTGGTGGCTTTATGTTTTGAGATAGCAAAGATGGTGGTGGACCTGGCGGTTGTTGATTTGATGAGGTAGAAGGATAATTTGTTTGACGAGATAACGGTTGAGACATCAAGGGATGGTCGCCACGATCAATTGAGCCACCACGATTAAACATTGGAGGATGAGGTGGATGAAATCCATCGTTTTGGCCATATAACTAGAAATACCGTAATATAGATTATCTTTCGAGAGCTATTGTTTAAATTTTTATTACATTATGAGTTGTTGGATGACCAGGAGGACCGTTTGAGTTCGGTGGTGGAAAGAATGGTGTATAGTATCCGCCATGTGCCAATGGATCTTGCGAACCGTATGGTCCTCCAGGAGGAGTTTGTATTTGTTGTGGCGGCGGTGGTGGCGTTCGATAGAATGGACCACCCTGTGGTCGTCCGGACATCATCTGATTGTCTGCAAAGGGGAGTAATGGATCAGAAATATATTCTCAGAAAGCTTCAAAGAAAAACCCACTCATGTATCCTTGTGGCGGAGGCGGTGGTTGTGCTTGACCAAGCATATGAGCACCATGATCGACTAGAAAAGGTGATGGATAACTAGACATTGGTGGTGGTGGTGGTGGCGGCAAAGCATTATTTTGTGGTGGGGCTGAATTGAAGAGAGAAGCGAAGAGAATTTCGAATAGAATATGCACAGAGATATATACATACCAGACATTGAACCTTGAGAAGTATGATGATACATAGAGTTGGTGTTAGGTACGTTCGGCGGTGGTTGCATATACAAATTTGTATTTCGATAAGGAAAATTTTGTGGAGGATACTAAAGAAAAAGTTGGAATCCGTTTTATATCGAAAGATTAGTAATCTATATATGTGTTAGTTAAATAATATCAGCACAGCGTGCCCTTTGCTATATATATATATATATTAAATAGAGAGAAGCGTAGATATATTATTTATATAAACAGATACGAATGGGTTCAGAATAGTTTTTAAATCTTCGTAGAAGAGAGAGAATGTGAAACAGAAATCGGTACACATAGCTGAACGAAGATATACATCAGCTGACAACGATGAACAAAGCATGGGCACAGAGACGAACTTACGATTTGCGAGGATTGAATACCCGAAAAATCTGAAGTCATCGGGTCTGTACTGGTAGTATTTGTGTTTGATGAATAGATCTATACATATATAAATATGGGATGCAGAAGGGAATCGGATAGATTGATGTGTCATGCGAAATTTCGAATCTCAATTAGTCGATTACAGAAAGACCAGGATAAAGAACGCAGATCTTACTCGATTGAATGGTTGCTGTTGTTGTGGTGGTTGTTGCTGAGGTGGTGGTAGTAGGCCTTCGTAGAACGGATATGAAGGTTGTTGGTGCAAGGGATTCATTTGCGATTGCGGAAGAAGATGTTGCTGCAAGGACGCTTGAGACATTGTTGGTTGTAGAGCAGGAGGCGGAAAGACTGGATAGCTGCCAACATCGACTTGATCTTGAATGTTGGGTGGTACTTGTTGAGTGGGTTTAACCTGGAGAAAAGATGACTAGTAATTTTATGCACTGATGCTTATCCACAGAACTTACAGTACAAATATTCTTTTGCTCATTTTTATTCGAGCCGCTCATGGATGAATATGCGCCAGATTGATTCATTGTGGACGAGGATCCAGCTGATTGTAGACTAGTAACTGGGACTGGATTTTTACTATGTGTTTCATCTTTCACCGATGAAGGAACATTTGTATTGGAACCAGATATATTCGCCGATGATGTCGGAATCGGTTCGGGTACGTAATTATCTGCTTTCGCTGAACTAGTTGCTTGAATAGTATTTTCCTTTTGTTGCTGTTGTTTCATAGCGACCATTGAATTGATTGTCTGTTCAAGTTGTCTAGTAGATCTAAAAGATTTAGATAGCATTGAACGGAAAAGTGCTACACATACCTTGGATGATCCGATATGTCCCATATAGTTTTGATCGAATTAATCTTTTGATTTAAATCATCCCCAACTGTACCAATTGACTGTTTATCATCGTAATCCAAAAATGTATTCTAAAACATAAATGATTTCAATATGTATACATGCAAACATCGACAGCTTACCTTTTCAAATAATTGGTTTGACCCCAATGATGCGATGGTATCATTCTTTTCGTAACTACTCGATTTTGCCTAAATTTTCAAAGGAACTTTTTAAGAAAAACTTTCTCAATCATTGGAAACTCAATACTTTATTGTCGCGATCAGATTTATTGTCTGTGCTTGGCGGTTTTATCGTACGTGCAATAGTTTCGTGGGTTTTGGACACCGGTGAATGAGCAGGTAGCTATTTTTTGCAAGAAAACAAATCAGTAGTGAGAAGAACAGGATACAGATAACATTCTTACTGCAGATGCAGTTCGTTGATGAAGTGGTAGCGATGCATCATTTGATGATGAAGGTGGAACTATTTCATTTCCGAATTTACGATCATGTGTCGCTGAAAAAGCTGATGTCAAGCAAACAACTGTTTCCATCGAAAATTAACTTACGTTTTTCAATTAATTTACTTGGATTCGACATCGTACTATCTGTATGTGGATCCCACATTTGAATATTGGACATAACGTTCGATGGTGTCGAATGTGTCTTATCGGCAACAGTTGAGTCAGCTTTTCTCTCATTTGAATGCTCATCAATTGCATTACTATCTTGATGTTGTTGACTACGTTGCTTTCGACGCGTCGACGTTTGTCGATGAGATTGATTATAACTTCCATAATTATAATAAGAATTGTCATCGTAGTATTGGCTTTGGTCATAATAGTAGTAATTTTGATCGTAATAATACATTGAATTATTTTGATGTTCATTTTTCGCATTCTGTTGTCGTGTAGCAGATTTACTATTGAAGCGTGGCGGAAGAGATTTGCCATTTCGTGTGCGCGTCGAACTACCTTGATTGTCATCGTTTGAAGATTTCTAAAAAGAAGAATCGAAATTCTCTAGTATAACAACGATTCGATGTTACCTCATTAGTTTGTTGTTCATCGTTGTCGATTGATGTGGATTTCGGCATTTGTTCACTCAGTGATTCGATGGCATTCTGTTTAGACAATTGAGCAGCTTTTTGTTCCTTTCGACCTCGTTTAGACATGACAACACAGAACTCTTCGCCACCATCATCGAATGCTGCACTTTCTTCCTCTAGTGCACCTGCTGGTAAGGTTTCAATTTTAACAACGCCGGCAACATTATTCAAATCATAACCATCGAGTGAATGACGATGTTGATCTTTTCGGTTTACTCCAGTTTGTTTTGTTGTCAAACTAGAAAAAAGAGTTTCTACGAGATAATTTCTATAGGAAACATTTTCATACTTTTCTTCGTCCGCTTTTTGTGGTGAACTTTGCTTGGCGTTAGCGGATAAGCGGCCAGAACGATGACTGAGAAGGCCACGGCTTGTTTTACCAGTGCGATCATAAAAATTATGTGTGCGACGATGAATGCCACCCTCATTATGACGAGCGCTCAATGGCCTAAACGAATACATACGAATAGCAACCTTCGATTCAGAGTGATCGTCATTACCTTTGACTGGAAAAGCTCTTCTTTGGAGGTGTTCGATCTCGATTGCCGGATGTGTCATCTGCAGCAGTCGACTTATTTGCTGGCTGTTGACTACCATCTTGGTGGTTACTGCGCATGATTCCGCTCGATTCCGATGCAGTTTCCCATTCTTCGCCTTCTTTTAGTTCATTGTCACTTACAGATTGTTGGTGAAGATTACTCGAAGTGTTATTACTATTGCTGACTGTTTTTGATTTCGTTTGTTTACGGTCAGTTGCAGAAGATAAACCTCCACGTTTGGTTGTTTTAGTGATCGAACGTGTTTGAGAACGTGATTGAGAATAAGGATCAGTGGAGTAATTATATCGACTATTATAACGCCTAAAGTGAACAAAAATCACGATTAAAAATCGTAAACAGTTTATGATTGTATCATACTGTTGAGGATGCTCATAGTAATAACCAGTGGATAAATCTTGTATATGTGTGTTTCGTCCGCCACGTGCTGTTAGACGAGTGGTACCGTAATAATTATGACCGGTCATTTGCATTGCGTCATAATCTAGAAGATAAAAATTTATCTTGACGCGAATTTTCTTCGACCAACGATTAGACTTTACCTTGCATAGCACGTGAGTAGTTAGTTCGATGACGAGATGTTTGTTGGTTTTGATAGCGCTGATCTTGTTGATAATTTTGCTGATCTTTATTGCTGGGTTTCTTTTGTGTGGTAGAAACTACTGCAGTTGATTTTTTATTAGTTGATTCCGATTCAGATTGGCCAGCAAGATTGCGTTCGATTTCAGTCTTGACTGGTTCAGTTGTTGTAGTTGTGGTTGTTGAATCAGCTGGTTTCTCAGGTAGAATGGATGGTATAGCAGTAGGAGTTTCGACTAATTTGATAATTGGAATTTCTTCTACGGGTGGTGGCTGAGTTTCAGTTGCCCAAGCAGATGGCTTCTTGACAGAACTGTCCGAAACCGATTTTGATGATTCTGTAACAAGCGAGACTGGTTCTATTGATTCAGCAGTAGTTTTTTTATTTGTCGAACTGAGTGAGGTTCGAGACGGTGGTGTTTTCTTGGTTTTCGATCCTGTACTTGTATTCAATTGAGAAGATGATGTGCCTGATGCATTATTCGCATTATAAGTTGAATATTGTTGTTGATGACGCAGTGTGCCACTGCGCCGATAGCGTCCGTACGATCCTAGAGTAGTGTAACCACGATGAGGCGTATGTGAATGGTAACCAATCGATTGATGATGACGTTGATGTGTTTGAATACTCGAATCATAATAGCCTGTCTCATCATCATAATAATCATCATCATTACCCCATGCGGGATCATTTGTTTCATTGTAAAAATCATTGCGTTGAGAATAATGTGATGAACTATTATAATCTTGTCGTTGAGATTGATTTGAAGTTTTGTAGTGTTTCGATGTTAATGACGAAGCAGGGTTTGACTGTGAAAGTGGTGTTGGTATAACATCAGAACGTACACTCATCAACGAAGGAATTGATGATGTATTGATTGTTGTTGGAGTTGTTGCATATCGTGGTTTACGTTCTACGGGTGCTGATTGCCGACGATCAATCAGATCAGTCGTTTTCGATTCGGTTCTGTGCGAAATAACTTCGTGCGGCGTTGGATCATTCGAATCAGGCGCTCTTGTAGGTGACAGAGCACGCCATGCCGGATGAGCTCTATTCGACACTGATTTATTTTCTGATTTTGCTGCTGTTGTTGTTGTCGTCGTCGTCGTCGGCAAATCTGTTGGACGATTAGGCACTAAAAGAAGAAAAAAATGTATGCAAGATAGAATTGGCTATTGATGATTAATTAAATACCATTCGAACGTGGTTTTGCTGATTGTTTCGTTCGATTGTAATCATTTGTTTGTTCATTGTAACGATTCGATTTTTGAGAGAGATCATCCGTCGATTGTTGATGCGTTTGTCGACGTCGATCATTCGGATATTGTTGCTGTTGGTAACGACTAGTTGATGAATAATTTGAATCTTCCCAATCGCCCCATTGGTCATTAGATTTCATATGTTGTTCACTATTTTCAACATAGTTCATCTCGTCATTGCCTCGTGATTTAAAATGGGAAACATTTGACGATGTTTTGGATGAAATTGTGTTTGATTTATGTGTTTTACGATTCGATATTGGAAAATGTTTTGATCGGTTGATACTTGGCCCATTATCAGGCTGAGATTGAGAACTAGATTCACTATGTGATCGACTATATTTATGTGGTACAGATGAGCCACTAGCACCGCCGACAGTGGTATCATCATGATCGTCACCATCTGCACCGGATCTAGAACAAAGAACACAGTATGTGAGAATATGTTCAGCTCGTCTTCTCGTATCGATCGAGGCAAGATAAGTCGAAAGATCAATACTGATAAAATGTTTGCTCTTCAAGGCTAAGAATACAGCGGATCAAGTTCTGTCTCCAGCGTACAGCTAGAGAAAATAATCGATGCTGATCTTGTATTTTGACTCCCATCAGTTTATCGTTTCACGTTGCAAAAGCTGCTCGACATACTTGTTTTTCTTATCGAATGTCAACCACAAATAAAGCGTAGTCAACTAATGACTTACTTTTCGTGAAGTGAAGCATAATTAAATGAATCCATTTGATCAGACCAACTTTTCATTGTAAATGTTTGACTATCTCCAGTATCATGACGTGGACGAGACGCTGATGATTGTGCCCACGACGAAGTTGTTGAATCCATCTGTGCTACTGCTACTGATGGTGGTAGGTTTTCTTGAGCAGTCGAACTCAACAAAGGACGTGTTTGATAACCAGGTACTTGTTTTTGTTCGTCAAACGACTTTTGTGCTGTTGTCGAACTTGTTGATCGTTGTGGGATCGTATCTCGAAGATTTCGTTCTTGTTCATCACGTCTTTGTTTTGCTACTGTTAATGTACTAATCAATTCAGTGTTTTTATCATCTTGCATTTGTTTTACATGTTCATCGTCTTGTAACAAACGTGAATGTGTACTCGATTGTTGCTGCGAGTAGTTTCCATGCGGTGAACGATTGCTATTCTGTAGAACTTGAGGATAAGTTTGTCTAGACTGTTGTTGGGAATTATTATTATTGAATCGGCGAGATTTTGTATTGGCAGTTTCACTGATATCATTATCTTCGTCATCACTGAAACGAATTTTTTCTTCATAATTAACTTCCTGAGATGCGCTGGCCCATGTAACATTTGCTGTAATTTTCGATAGATCATCAATATCTTTGTTTCGCAAAATTGTTGGAGTTTTATAATCTGTTGCTGTAGTTAAACGTTGTTGAGACGAGGAGTTGTTGTTACTAAAAGATGACACGCGTTGTTGTTGTTGTTGTTGCTGCTGCTGCTGCTGATGATGATGATGCAATGGCACAGATGCCGATGCCTGATTTGCTCCATATGAACTATACGAATTGCCTGAATTGTAGGACCACTGGAAAAAGAGAAAAGACGATAATAGTCAAACGAAAAAACATCTTTTCATCATTACCATCTGTTGTTGTTGTTGCTGCTGTTGTGTTGGATACGTCCGCATGTAGGATGGATTATTCGTGTTTGACATTTGTGATTGAAGTAGATTAGAATTCGTGTTGGATGGTAAGATTTGTGGTTGCATAGACAAAGTTGAGAGATTGGTATTATTATTATTATTATTATCATTAGAATCTTTTGGTGAATCAGTGGACACTGGCTGAACACGTCCACCACCTTCTTTCCACGATGCTAAATTTGCCGGTCGAAAGCTCGGGCCCTGTGTTGTTGTCGATGACGTCGAACTCGTCAATGCATCTGATGGTGTTTTCGTCGTTTTATTATCTTGGGTAACTAAACGTGGAAAGTCATTTAATCCAAGTAAATTCGGCGGTTGATCAGCGTTGTGACCAGATGTGACCGTGCTCCAAGTTGCTGGTGCACGAGGTTTATCTAGATCGGACGACAATGACGATGACGGTTGCTGTGAATACGGTGGTGGTGTAGATGCGTTGGCAGGTATCGAGTCGAGCTGCTGCTGTGTTGGTTGTTTCGATGGTGTCAACGGACGTGCTGAACTATTCGCGAGATTTGTTGGCGTCTGATTTCCACTTGCTGTCCATCCATGACTAGTACTCGTTGGCGCTGTTGGATCGAAGGATGATGTGTTAGCGTTGGTTTCACTTTTTAAACTTGGAACATTAGCCGGTGGTGGTATTCGTCGACTATTGATTTTTCCGAGGTTCGCCCATCCTTGAGCACGAGCTAGGGAAAAGTAAAATAGTGCACATAATTGATTTTCTTTCACTTGAAAACCGTCTTACTTACCAGTTGCTCGACTCGTTTCGTTCGTTCGTGTTTTGTTTACATAATCATTTGCTTTGACACCAGCATAACGTTTGTTTTTATCAATAGATTTACTCGGAACAGACATGATAATAAATTAACGAATAATTTTGATGTAGCGATCATGCGAAAATAAAGGAATGACGCACACAATGTGACTAATCGTACACCAAGACGACTACGTGAAAGTTGATTGAATAGAGATCGTTATAGAAAAAGAAAAGAAAGAGGTGAATAATGAATCTTATGATTACAATAATTATGAAAAATCTTCTGCCGGTCGACGATTCAGGACAGAGAGAAATCTAGAATTGAAAAAACAACACGAGCTGTTTGCGACCAAAAGTGCAGAAGAACAGAAGAAACGTTCTTGCGCAAGTAGAGAACTGTTATTAATTCATCAATAGAAACAACGGATTTCGTAATTACGAAGAGTTTGAATTTCAAGAAATGAAACTCCATCTTTTCTCCACATGCTAGTACAGTCATAGGAGATGAATGAATAAGTGAAGGACTACAAACGGGAAACAATGGCGATATAAAGTGCACAGATGTGCAAAAGCGACATCTATAATTTTCATCGTGTACGAGCATGTTGAGTGAGTTTGCGGGTTTGTCGACAGAAAATATTCAAAATAAATTTAGAAAGTACAAGGAAAACTTGTTTCAGAACGAATTTTCAATATGGTTGCTAAGCAACATGAACTTTCGAAATAAAAAACGGATATTTTGGAAGACAATATCTAGCTGATTAATTCACAATTCACTCTGCTGATAAATTCACACCATATGGAAAACCTCGAGTTAGGCCATGAATTAGAATGACAGTTTTTAATTAATGCGAAGATCACTATCGTCGTCATTACTATTAGAACAATTTGTACTCAGATAGAAGAATGATGCAAAGTGCGTCATTAGGATATGCTTAACAGCACAGATGGAATTTGATTACATACCACATGCTTTTTCTCACACGCATTTATTTTCAATGGACAATGACGCCTACTTTATGGAAAGATTTTCTAAACATCCGAAATGAATTCATACAAAATGGAACAATCGTTAATGATCGAGGAACTAAACATTTATTTCTGAAATTTTGACATGTACAAGAGATGCGTAACAAACGTACGAAATCTTGTTATAGTCGACGTGGGATCGTTTTGGTATACGGTGCAAAATTATTAGCAGCTAGTGGTGTTCTTCCTAATGGCAACGAATGATAGCTGGCGTACTGAAGATTCTGTGCTGCAGGCAACCGCTGAGGATCACGCCGAATAACTTGTTTTTTTCGATACCTTGGCACTGTTTGTGGAGTCGTTTTACACGATAATGAGCATTGACATTGAAAGTGATACTTAAAGCAGCATGACTGAAGAAATTTCACGACTGTCTGCCGTAATTTCGATGATATAATCAAATATATAATCGGTTGTAAAGCACAATTAATAAAAACAAGTAAACGGACAATATTGAGAAGCCAATGTAATAGAACTTCATTCATGAGGTTCTGCTGAAATAATTGATTATATACAATGAAAAGCAGATTTACTAACCGATATGGTAATAGTAAAAGAATGTAAAGTAAAATAACGATGAAGAGCATGATGATCACTTGGACACGTTGAATTGAACGAGAATTCGTTGGGTACTGATTGGTTTCGGTTGGCAGCATAACCGACACAGCGGGTGTATCCGACGAATTACGTTTTCGCGATCGATTGGCTATCGCTAACATTGACGATGTCGATGCTGATGTTCGGGCTAGGATATCTTGCAAAGGATCCTGTTTCTTAAGATTCTGTGTTAGAAAATGATACTCTCGGTGATTATGCCGTGTCTCTTCATTAATCTTTTTACTATATCGACTCGATATAACCATAATTCGAATCACTCGACCATAAATAACAATGAGAAAGATTCCTGTGATCACGTATGTGAACGCTAGTAATAGGATCAGATATGTTCGCGACCAAATCTCTTTCGCTTCAGTGCCACAAGTAGGTGCGTACGTCCTTTCAGAAGTATTACTTTGATTATCTGGCGCAGATATGGTTTGAAAGTCGTACTTAGTTATAGAAAACAATGGTAGGTTGATTAGAACAGCGAAAATCCACACGAGACATAAGGTTTGCGAGTAATTACGAATTTGTTGGCGAATGACATTATGCTGTAAACAATTTGGAACACCTGTTGGATAACACCGATGAACAGTTAAGATCAAAAGTAGTCCCAGTGCAGCATGCATGGAAACTTGTTGAAAAAATGGGACGAGGTAACCTGAAGGACAAAATATACTTGTCAATATTCATTAAGAAACAGGAGATCTATACGCGTGGGATAAACACATAAACTACTTTCATCTAAAGTTCAGGATTTTTCATGACTTAGCTGAAACCCTTGTGTATTTACATGAAAGTTTTATTAATATTGACAATCTTCTAATGAATATTTGAGATATTTCCGGTTTAGATTTCACCGTCATTTATCGAGACGACAATAATACTGGCTAACAATAGCGCACTTTTCTAATCTTATCAAAGTTTAACGATTTACGACTGAATACCCTTCTCTAGGGACATTACAGTATTTCATATAATAAAATTTTCCTTTTTCAGAAATCGGTTGTAACTATAAGGCGTTTAGCTTTTGTCATGTACAAAATTATTAGGAGCTAAAAATATATTTCTTTCGGGTCCTTCGTCCCTAAAAACAATTTTTATATAGATTTCAACAATTTCTTCCGGAAATTCAACCGGTCACAAAGAGTTCAGTGCATTTTTAATCCCATCTCATTAAGAATTTATTCAGTACTCCTCTGTAAATTTATCTTCGCTATATTGAACTTTGGTTATTGATAAAAAGACATCATCAACATCATCAGCAATAGAAAAAAGAATCATCTTTTGCCCGTTGACTTCATAGATGCGTCAAATTAATGAAGAGATATGTGCTTGTCACTTCATGATTTTTTTCTGTCATCAGATTAGTTTGGCTAATTCATTTCTAAAACGGGTACTTACTTATGTCTAACAAACTGTAAATCCTCTATCCAAGCTAATTAGGCATTAACATATGCGTAAGCGAAAAAATTAATTCACATAGTAAAGCGTATTTCTTTTACTTACATGCAATCATTCCCAATGGAAACTCGTCATTTGGATGAAATAAGGCTGCGATACGTTCTGGTAAACAACTGAGTATTAAAATAATGTCAGCGATATCAACGTTGATTATGTAGAAATAAGTTGACGTGTGCATTGATCGGTCTCTTAATATAGCCAAAATAATGATTAGGTTTGCAATTAAAGCGATTAATATAACAATCATGAAAACGACAAACCATAGAATATCCAACCAAGCTGCAGACATTTCAATTAAACTTTGCTGTCAATACTAATAAACGATGAATATTTTATTAAAATCTAAAGAATATTAAACTCATTAAAAAATCCCCTCAAGATATTTCATTTTACTAATGTATCAAGGTACAAGATGCTATCCATCCAAGCGCCTTTCTATAGCAGACAAGTGCTTCTGACGGATCGGTACATGTTCTTATCATGCACTGGAACTCGTAATCTAATAAAACAAATAGGCTTAGATAATTAAATTTCAGACGCACTCTTCGCGTTACGAGCAATATTCTTTTATATCCAATTTTTTCTATAAATGCATCAAAACGGTGTAGAATTAGTGAACTTAAATGCTCTCAGCGCTGTTTACCTCGAAGAAAGAAAACAGTTCTCAGTTTACCGCTTTTATGTAAGTAGTGAGAAAGTATCATGATTAATCTCACAGCTCAAGCCGATCAAGTTCTTCATTGGTCGATTAATTATATATTAAGTTCGCATCTTACGTCAATGCTAATTATAGGATAGCAGAAAAGACGATGAATAGATGAACAAAATCATTCAAATTTCTTTCAACAAGCACCAGGAAAACATTGCTATGTGAATTTTCAATACATATCCTGATTGAACCATTCTTCAACTGACAGCCATTGTTCCAACTAACTTTTGATGCGGAATTAACGACTATTAAATGGACAATATAATAGATTTATTCTTACATGCGTAATTTTGTGAGATGAGATAATATGAATGTCATTGTTGATAAGAAGACTTGAGCATCAAGCAATATTAATCTTTTAGAGTTCAATAAATCTAACGTTTTTTTCTTTATTAACTATTTTGTCTCTTCACTACTCAACATTGACAATGAATGTTAATGAATGAGAAGAGAAAAAAAACAAGCGTATCCAACAAAAAGAGAAGAACGTTTTTTTCGACGATGAAACAAGGAAAAAGAACAAGAAAAAAAGCACATTTTTATCTCATCCTTTCCAAAACATGTAAATACAATCCTATGAGGATTCTTTGTTGGAACGAGAAGAACACAGAAACAATAACAACAAGTATACACCTAGTTAATATATATATATATATAGATATGTATAAGACAGTGAATAATATATGCATGCGAAAAAAGAAAGGAAAAACAAAACACACACACACAGTTATTGCGGAAGTAAAAAGTCGGTCGTTGAACTCGCTGTCGACACTGAATTTGTTGGATTGTTTTGATCAGCAATTGTGGCTTGATCTATATTCATATCATTCGTCGCTCCGGGATTTTTCATCACCGTGACAAGACCGCCGAACTCGTCGAATCGAAATGGTGTCGTGTTATTACTGGCGCAGATTAACTATAAAATAAAATATGTTTATTAAAGATGTCTTCGCTCCTTCACAATGATGAATAATGCTTAATCAAGAAGAAGAAGCACGAGTAAGACAAACCTCTGCGCGACCGCGCGACTTGATTTGTTGATGAATGTTTCCGTTATTCGCTGAATCAAGAATGACTACCTATATTACAAAGAAAAATTTACGAAGCGTCTGGGAATTTATAAAAGAAAAGTACTCACATCCATTCGATGCTTTTCCGTGATATGTTTAATGAATTCGTCTACATTACTTTGATATCGACGACATAATCCACATTGAAATCTAATAGAAACAGAGATAGACGAAGATGTCGTTGATCTTATCACTTTACTTCGTGTTCGGATTTGAGAGAAGTGCGTCATTGGATAAGAGAACAGGTGTATTCGATTGTCCAGCATGATTATGATGTAAATGTCGCTAAATGAAAACAGATTTCACTCGGCATTTTTTTCTCTTTTGCATATCTTACTTTTAAATTTGTTTTTTTATCTGTTATATACGAACAGAACGTGCACACATGTGCTGAATCATCCAATTGTAAGTGTTCGCTTTTGACATGTTCATTCAAATGGTAGAGTTTTGTCGTGGAGAAAGGACATTTCTGACAAGTAAACACACATTTCGATATAACTTTGTAACATTGTGGAACAGTGCCATGGGGTGGTGCTATATTCGGCATATCCGAATTCTGAAACAGATAATATAGATGAGAGTCTTTTACCCAATAACACTAGGATATATTTCATCAAAGAGACAAATAATGTCTTGAAGAACCTATCAAACATCTGATGTGGACTGATGAGTTTTTTTTTATTAACAGCAGACTGATAAAAGTACTCTACTCCAGACCATGGATATTTTTCTAAGCTTCTAATCACGCAACTATATGAAAGAAACCTTCGTATGATGTCAAAGAACAACTTACGCGTTTCAGAAGATCTGATCCAAATAATCGATTTCCTCGTCCAATTTGCGGAATATTTAATTTATGTATGGATGTTAAATGGCGCTTAAGATGTTCCATTTGATAAAATTTGTTATTACATTTAGGGCATTCATAATTTCGTTGTCCTTGATGATAGAGCATATGACGCTAGAATAAAACATAATCAGATCTAATTGTCAGCAGATTATTTTCTTTTACTTTCAATTTTGAAAAACTTTTACAATTGTATGGACACAGATTACACTGAAATTTGTTTGTTTGACTTGAATGACTATAGATATGATTTTGAAAGTCCTATGAAAAACAACCAAATTGAGCTTATTTCTATAATACTAACAACAAAGGCGCATAGTACCGAATAATCATGAAACACAGTATCACATTTGTTGCATTTCCATTCTTTTTTATATGTTTTTGGTAAGTTATTAAGAATATCAAGTCCTTCGATATCCCAATGTCGACGAGCCATATGAATTTTCAGATCGGCATTGGTTGCAGCCATGAACGAACAGTAAGGACATGGAATCGATCTATAGGAAAATCATAGTATATCATTCTCTTCTGATATTGTCTTACTTTTCTAAATGCTTATGTGCCATGTGACGTTTTACATGTGTAGTTGTACAACCGCGGTAATGACATAGTGGACAAGCAAAATCTTTGCCTTCACTACCCATGTGAACACGTAAATGTCGTTTCATGTTTGCTATACCGAGAAATTTCTTTCCACAATGATCGCAAACAAAATCGAATGGATCAAGTTCTAAATATATGACAATGAAAATCATGGAAAATGTTCGATTTCGATCGTGCTATACCAGCATGTTTCTTTGCATGTTTTATCGCTTCAGATTTTGTTGTATATGCTTCTCCACATTCGTGTACTTTACAACAATAGGAATGACTCATTTGATCACCTTCCTGTTAAAAGGAAAAGATAGACTTAACGAAAGAAAGATATCAATTTCACTTACATCAGTTCCTAACGGATCATTCTCATTCTCATTTGGATACGACTGCGATTCGAAGAGACTTTCAATGAATCTCATATACATTTCGGGACATTGTTTAAATGAATGCTTGGATACAATTGCTGAACGGTTAAAATCGAAAAATTCTTGCTCATCTTTGAAAACAACCTTGAAAAAGACAAAAGCAGATTCTCAATAGATGAAGAAAATGGAACGTGTGCATTTACTTTTAAAATATGTGCTTGTAAATCACCACGACGACATTCTTCGAGTACTAATCGTCCTAGATTTCTTTCAATCGCATCAATTAAACGTTTCGCCGAGTTTTTATCAAGTTTGACGGAAACAACACGGTTGCCTCGTTCATCACATACAAATGTACGTCCTTTACGATTAAATAAATCACTATACTGAAACGAAGGTTCGAATTTGACATCGCTATCAGCTCGTAATGAACCCATGACTAAATCGGGTAATTGAGCAGCATGGTATCCAGGTCCACCGGTTGATGACAAATGTGCATTGTCTTCATCGAAGTTGGACATTTCATCTTCGTCGAAATCTAGAACACGATGAATCGACGCTAATTCATCGTCATTCAAATCCATTCCAAGTTCATCGTCAGAATCGAATGTGCCATTGAATAAATAAGAATCATTATCAAATTTATTCGACGAACGTGATGTCGTTGCTTGAGTACTGTTACGTTTCGTTGTCGTTGTTGTTGTTGTTGCTGCCGCTGTTGTTGGCTGTGGTGTCTCATAATCCATCGAATCAATTGATGATTGATGTGGACGTATGCGTACAATCGGTTTCGTATCATCGTTAGTACTTGTTTGGGATGTTGGTATATCTTCGAATGTCGACGACGATGAGATTTTGACTTTATTATTTGGTAGCATTAAGACATCGACAGATAATTCATCGTGTGGATTCGATGTATGATCGTGTAGTGGACGATAGATGATGTCAGCATCGACTTTGTAACGTTTCGAGGAAATAAACGAATCATTCAATCGTTCGACAAAAACCGCGCAAGGTCGAACGAAATGTTGCTGATTTTTCTGCATGACAATTTTCTTGGAAATCTAAAAGATTCAATTTCGTTTTCTAATGTTCAAATTCAATATCCAAGGAAACGATAATAGGCAGCCACGACGGTTTCCTCTTGGACACAATATTTGATATTTCTAAAATAAATATGCCTAGCTCCCTCTGTGATGTGTATTGATGAGACAGAATTTTTTGTTCATGACTGAGGATTACTCAGATGAGATTTCATTGGTGAATTGGATATTTTGTTGGAAATTTTTTGAAGAACTTTCCCTGAAATAATAAAAGAGTTTTTCATCTGATTGTATACTTAAGCTGGAAATAAATGTAATTTTACAGTGACATCTATCCGAGCTGATTATTTTGTCAAGACCGTATGATCAAACGAAAATTTGTTAGAATTAGGATGCTCTCGCTTTTTTTCTATGATTACAGAAAAAAAAGAATTTTGTTTATGTTAAACATCAGGTGACTTCTATTTTTTGTTTTGAATAGTCATGTTCTACGATGATAATGATTATTCATCAGATGATGATAATCGATTTCATGCTGTATATCATTGTTATTCTCCAGCGTTTTTGACCGATCGTGAACAAACCAACATTGAACATGGAGGAAAAATTTTACTACCACAAACTGCACTGGAACAATTAATCGATCAAGTAAAACTTGAATTAGTTATTGATACATTCGAACGACATGATCGATTTTTAGGCTAGGATAATGTTATTTAAATTAACAAATCGTAAACAAAATCGTAGTACACATTGTGGTGTTTTAGAATTTTTGCAGAGCAGTGATCCCGTTTGCCATATACCGTACTGGATGATGCGTCATTTATCATTGAATGAAGGTGATGTCATACACGTTGAGTGTATCTCGTCCATTCCACCGGCAAGTTTTGCTCGTTTTCAACCGCAATGCAGAGATTTTCTAGATTTGAGTAATCCCAAAGCTGTTTTAGAGAGAGTTTTGAGAAGTTTTAGTTGTTTAACAAAAGGCGACCTGATATCGATTAATTATCTCGGCCGAAACTATGAATTGGCTGTTTTGGAATTAAAACCAGCTGATGTCGTTTCAATTATCGAATGTGACATGGAAGTGGACTTTGCTCCTTCTGTTGATCAAACCGAATCCAAATCAACATCGACAACCGCGAAACATCAAGCATTAGTTAAGTCCTCCTTAACATCTGCACCATTTCACGGACAAGGTAATCGTTTGAATGGAAAGCTTAAAGATACAGATCAAGAAGAACAACAACGTCATGCTGAAAGTTCACGTAGGCGTGGACAACCGAACTATGATTATAAATGCGGTTTATTACAGTTTCCACGTGCACCGTTACACAGTTTAGATAATGATATGAATGAAATTTTCGAGAGAAATACTTCAGCTATATTTCAACCATTTACAGGTGAAAAAAAAATTCTTAGACAACTACGAACGGAACAACCAAAGTAGAAGAGAGAAGAGAATGGAAAGAAAGTGACTGCCTTCTTTGTTTCACGTAAATAACTTATTCCTAATCTAGAAAGATTGGTATGTAGAAAAAAATCCGAATAAATTCTTTTTTTTCTTTTGTTTGTGCTAAACTTCGTTAACATAATGATCGGAGACCAGACGGAACATGACCATTTGTTAGATCGCATAGAACGCTTCGGAATTCATCGTCAGAACAAACACGAATTGTTTTCGGGCAACACGAGGAGCTAGTCGAATAGTATGATGGAACACAATCGTAACTTGATGAACGACAATAACGATTCCATGATGGTGTTACATCGGTCATCCTGACATATCTGTCGGCGCATCGGTCCACGCATCTATCCTCACATCGATAACAATCGTCATAACATCGACGATAACTATAGTCACAATCAGATACGACTTCTTTGCAGTAATTGACAGTTGGTTCACAGTATGATGGGACATAGCTATAGGATGAACAGCGAGGAATCGGTGTCGGCGCTCGTACTCTTTCCCATGTATTTGATTCGACACAAGGAGTTCTTGCGCGTTCATGTCTACCCGGACAATGTTCATGATATCGATCGGTAGATATTCCAAAGGGTGGTGGAACAGCACGAGATGCTTCACTAACTAGATGAGCGTGCTGTGAATTTGATTCCCATGCGTTCAGTTCACCTCCGTACTGCCGGACATAACAGTCTGGATCAGCTCGAACAACTCCTTGGTTTATATATTCTTTACGAATACATGCCCGAGGTCCATCATGTAGAATCAGTAGATTGGGTTCTCGTTCGGATCTAATTAGTAAGCAAAGAAATAGATAAGAAAAACGGCAGTGACGAGCGACTCACACGCATGGTGTCGGTGCTCGTTCGACAACAACGCGCCGTTCACCAGTCTGTTTGTAAGGTAACCAACGTTCAATGATAACATCTTGAGGTTTAGGTGGACAAGCACCATAACGTTCAACAATAACACGACGCGGTCCTTCTGGTAATGGAGGTAATAGTTTTTCTACTACTTTAGGTGTTTGAGTTTCTGGAGGCGGAGGAGGTCGTTCTCGAAGTATCTTAAGAGACATAGAAAACAAAACGTTTTGCTAAGAAATCGATACTAATTATCGTACCAACGGAGGCGGAGTCGGCAAGGGTGGAGCACGTTGTCGGATCTAGAAATAATATTTTCAAATAGACAATGAGAAAATAGATTGCGCATACTTTGATCGGAGACTGTGCTCGCGGTGGTGGTGGATGAACTTCACCTGTAGGAAAAGAAATGCATAGAAGAGAGAGAGAACCATTGAGGAAATTTTTTTCTAGTTACGAATAATTAGCGGTCCTGGTGGTGGGGGTGTTGGTGGTTGTAAATATCTTACTGAAACATTTTGTCTGTATGTAACAGTATTATTCGGTAGAGTTTTTCGAACAATCAATGGTGGTGGTTGTTGATGTTCGACTCTTTGAATTATATCATGTTGTTGTCGCTCTGTTAGTACGGTTTGATCATCATGATACCTATTTGTAGTGACTAAGGCGTTATTTTCAACTGATCTATCTGTTAAAACTAAAGCGTTTTCAGCGACCGATTCACTGTCCGCAAACGTTACATGTCCGCCGGTTGTTCGATTTCCAGACAGTGATCTACTTGTATATTCGTTACTATTCTCTGTGCAGCCTGCTGAGAATCGATTCCCTGCAGATGTATTGAATACACCAGCGTTCGTGTTATATTCCGAATAATTACTACTGTATGTAGTCTTCGATTCCAATAATCTACGTTCTTCGTCAGTGAAAATAGGAGAATTTGAATGGATGATTTGACTACGCCATCCCACTGGAGCAGCAAGAGGTGCGGGTAAGGCTTGAAGAGCGATTGATTCTGCGTGTGTTGTTATTCGATTAGTTGGTGCTGATGAAATGAAATTAGATGTCACATATGTGTTATCGCTTGTTTCCTGTGATTGATACGTATTGATGTCAGATGAAATCATTTTCTTCTTCTTCGAACCTAGTTAAATCAAACAATTCTATTTATATCATATCGAAATACAAAACGAATATTCGGATAATTAAAGTAAGATATTTTCGAAAACGATCATCTAAGATAGACACAAGAGTAAAAGTATAATCGAGAATCTGTTGTGTCGAAGAAATAAAGAAATGATTGATAGTAACGAACAAACGAATAGAAAGGTAACTATTGAGAAAGAGAAAACCAAGGACAAGGGATTATACATATCATATACGATGGGCAAGGTTTTCCTATCGAATGACACATAGTATGTTTGATCGACTGTGTAATCTTTGTTTAGCATACGAAAAAAAAAGCAACGTACCAATCATCTTAGGATTGTTTGTGGTGACTTTCGTGTTTCCTTCTTGAAAAATATGATTCAGGGGTAAACCAATCTAAAATCAAAGAATAGCTGAGACATGCTGGCCTTCTCGCTTCAGTGCATGCGCTTCTTTTCAATATACAAATAGAAAATAAACCTTGTTAATTATTAATCAGAAAGAAACACAGATACGTTGTCTCCTTAAAAATAGAAAATGAAAAAAAACTCTTAAGCTAAGAACATCCATCGTAAAATCATCTCAACATCTGATTAGCACATGGAGATAAACCGTCTAATCTTCAATTCACTGTACTGTACCTAATTTTCATCTTGATATCGACCGGATCTTCTCAATCATGCCTACGTCATACTTGATTCATCGAGAATATTGATGCCAAGGTCATTCATCCATAGAATCAAGTATAATTTAATCGAAAGATGGGCAATAAAGGAAAAGTTTCGCGAAAAAATTTAATCAAAACAAAATATTTTTGATCTTATCGGTCCAATGAATAATAATGTAATTGTTTTTCGTTTCAGATAATTATGCTAAAACCGAAAGCATTGAAAGAAGTACTTGCGCAAATGACTAACGGTGGAATTCAGTCAACTGTGTATGTTGCTTTAGTTGATAAAGTTTTTCTGTTCAAATAAGTTTTTCTTTCGAAAACTAAAGATTATTGACACGGGATGGAGCACTACTTGCTTATTCAGGATTCGAAGCGAAAGACGCAAAGATCATTGCTGCAATGGCTAGTAGTATTTTTGCTGCCCATCAACGTGTTCGACAAACACCTAGTTCAACTGTTCCACAAAATATTGTGGGTTCAGGTGATTTGAATATGGTTTTATTGGACGCTGACGTACGTTGAAATCATCGTTCTTTATCATAAGATTCATATTGTTCGTCTTTGTATTCAGGAAGGAAAAATGGCTATCGCTGCTGTTGCTACCCAATTAGTTTGTATGGTGTCAAAGACTAATGTACAATTAGGAATGCTAAAGGCAAAAGTAATATTTGATATAGAATATGACTACGTCTTCACATTGAGTGTTTGTAGATGGACGCATTGTCCTCGTACCTGCAAGAGCCGTTACGTCAAGTATCGCAGAGCAATAACTAATTTTAATATTGAAACTTTGGATGATTTCGTTTACTTTTCTTTGTCTTGATGTTTGCTTTTTTTTCTCTGTTACTGTAAATGATACATCTTCCGGTCAAGATCAGTTTGATTTCTCGTGTTTATTATGCCAAGGAAAAAAGGGAGAGAGAGAGAAAAAAAAACGAGGAAAAAAATTTTGATTTGCTAAATTTTTTTATAGATTATTTTTTTATGTACATATTTAACAAATTGAATAAGACCCACCGTCGACAGAAGAAAGACGACGGATAAAGAATTCAATGGAAGACGACTGTGAAGTTTTAACTGCTGAGAATGAAGACGAACATGATCCACTTATTGCTGAAGTAGGCGAACGATTCTTAACAAGAGCTGAGAATCACTTTTTGGTTTAGATCGACATCCACTTAACACGTTTATTTGCTGACCAACTCTATTTGTTTCAATATCCACTTCGTCCCAACCATCTCCAATATGAACACAATGCCACGTTCATCGGTGCACGTGTCAAACCTAAGAATAAACTCGTTCAACTAGATTATGTTCTCGACACTCAATCGAGTTTTCATTGCAAAACAAAAGAATCAACAAGTATCGAAAATTGGACCACAGCATCATCTGCAACTGCGACAAACTCTACTGAGAAAATCAGCTCGTTTGATCGTTTAACATTATCGTCAACTAACCTGACAGCGGGCGATAATTATAAACGTTTTACTGTCGGCCTTCTCACGCCCAATGGCATTCAGTTATCTCCATTGAATGCCGTCTTTCAACTACGGCCAGATTTTGACTCGACTTCATCTGTTCTCGTTCAACAATCGATCTCACTCAATGATGATGACGAAGAAAATGATCCAAATTTCCCTAAACAATCAAATTCGAATACGGACGATACGACAACAGATGAGGAAACCAATGACAAACACATGAATGAACTTGTGACGATGAAATTCTGGCGACCAGAAGGTCGTCTACAACGTGAGAAGAAGCTGCGCTCTTACAATTATATCGAGCGTGCACGAAACGAAGAACGATGGATCGATTTCGCATATTATTCATCGAATGAATTACAGTCAAGTGAATTGATTCGTAGATGGTTTCAAATGGATGACATTGAACGGAATCGATTGCCTATCCGATGGAGAAAAACAATACCTATTCATGACTATTTTCAAATCTTATTTTTCGGTACACAATCCTCGCTCGAACTTTCCGTTGAAAAAGAGCAAAGTCAAATGGAATCAAATAATAGTACAGAACAAAAACCATTGATTGTCCCGCCGACCAAGCCAAAAAAGAAGAAAAAAACTGAAACAAAGAAAAGTTCGACGACAAGAAAAAGTAAGCATTGAAAACTTTTCTACACAAAAACCGAGAGATGTTCTCTAGGCCGAAGTCGAAGTCGAAAATCGACTGATTCTATTCCGACATTGAATTCTGAGCAGCAACAGCAATCTCAATTATCAACGACGAGCACTCCCCTATCGTCTGTATCTTTACCCAACACCATAATCAAACAAGATCCCGAAACAATACAGAATGAACTATTATCGTTTATGAAACGACGTTTTGGTTATCGACCATATTTTAAATTCAGTGAAATTAATATCGGTAAAAGCAAGCAGTTGATTGAGTTATGTTTCGAGAAATTTTTTTTTTGTCTAGCAATAAAACTTGAATTGATCTCATCACCACCTGGACATCCACTTGCATCAGGAGTTACCGAAGCGAGTATACTCCGAGCAGCTGCTGGAATCGGAGCTATTTATGTGAATAAAAAGGTCGAGTGAATGCTAGTCTTGGAAATTTGAGATGATCTACTTTGATTCTTTTGTTACAGTGGCCAAAAAATCTCAAACAGGAACCGGTTTTCATCAATGCTCAAATGGGCGATAAATATGATGTGGTAAGATCAGAGTTTCTAAGAGAGTTTTTCATCAACGTATTCGATTCGTTTAGCTTCGTCGTTACGTCGCTGAACTACTAGAGAAATGCGATAGTTTTCAATTTACGGAATTGCGCTCCCGAATCAAACAAGAAAATCAAACCCAACAATTTCCCGTGCACGAAGTGAAAAAATTCGTTAAAGTAGGATATTACACTAGTGAGGTATCAATACGTTTAGCATTCTACTTTAGGATCATTGTATCGCTCGTTCTTCACGTAAAGGTGTACTCTACTGTGTAAAAGGCACGTTGGTCAAGTAATGCAATCTCTTTTCCCATTGTACAAATATGCATAAATCTTCATGTTCTTATCTCTAACTATGTACAACACGTTCTTAGTGTTTCTCTGTTATTAATTATATCATTATATGACTGTATATGTACATCTTCTATTGAACAAAAATAAATCGATAAATGCGGCGCCGTTGCAGCACCTATCAACAATAGAAGATTTGCTGATTGTGACTCTTCTTTTTTTTTTTATTTATTTTGTTTTCTTGTCAATGTTCATCATTCACCTGAGTAGGTTACATCGCGCATACAATTGTTGGTCTTCTTTTTTTCTTATACAAATATGCACGACTAGATAACAGAAGGTTTGATGTTATAGTGAAGTTGAAAAATTCGATGTAGTCGCGCAAAGTCCAGAGGCCCAAGAAGAAGAAGAAAGAAAGGAAGAAAGAAAAACGGTAAGAAGAAAAAGAAAAACTGAACGGAGAAAATCAACATCAACAACAACAAATGAAACAGAGAACTACAAGAATCATCAACCGGCAAGATCCGTCACGTGTACATACATACTAAGTTTTGTTTTCGTTATTGCCAGAAAAGAAAAAGACTTTCGATCATACTCTCGTTGTAAGCTTTACAAAAGAGAGAGCAGATCCATACAAAAGGAAAAATCAAGAAAGAAAAAGTGAATTGTTTTTTTAAAAAAAAAGTGTTTGTATGTGTATGTTTTCTTTTCAGATGAGAAACAATCACTGCAATAGAAAGACGGAAAATCAATAGCGATAATGATATCCATTATTATTTTGTCGATAATAAAAATCATCATTTCCTTGCTGGTGTCGATAATTATTATTATTATTTGATCGTCTATAACCACCACCGGCACCTCCTCGGCCTCTTTGTCTTTGATGTCTATCATTACCAAATGTATCTTGATTTCTTGAACGATTGTACATAGGTCCAGAAACATCACCCGTATCTTCGAGAGCCATATTATCAAAAAAGGATTTCTTTTTATCGTAGACAGATTCAAAATCAGTGCTTGAGTCATGTTTCTCATTCAAGTGTAAGAAATCATCGGGTGACTCCGATTGTTGTTTAAATTCTTCTTCACTTGTAATTTTATTGAATTTACGATTACTTGTTTCGAAATCAAATTCTTTATCATAATTATTACTATGATCGTGAAACGTTTCACGATTTCCACCACCGGGACGCCGTTGTTGATAGCTCATAATTGGCGGACGACGATGATTATTATACGATGATCTTTGTTGAAAATTCATATGTCCATTTTGATAACGATTTGTTGGTTGTAGTGGTGCATCTTCAGGATGAGATCGATCATTCGAGAAAAATGGCTGACGAACAGGTAGTCCACTGTTATCTTCAGGTTCATTAAAACGATTCTCATGCTGCCGTGATGTCTGAGTTGAATGGGTATTCGATGACCAGCGTTGTTGGGGACGATTCGATTGTATTTGATCCGTGTTGTTCAATGTGAACTCATCGAAGAATTTACTTTTTGCATTGGATTGTTGAGAGTTTGGTTGATTATGATTCCAGTTGGACGAAGTTAGTAAAGACCAGGATGGATCAGATTCACCGGTACCAGTACGAAGATGAGATTCTATAGTAGAATTTCGGACATGATATTGCATTTTTGACTTAACAAACAAACTTACCTTCAAAATTTGATCCTTTATTCGAACGACCATCGGATAGATTCATCTGTTGTAAACCATGGATTAATCGATTCGATGCCGACAAATCTTTATTCGACGAGCTCACTATCGCTGATACGATGGCTGGATCATCATGAATTGACGATTGTTTCGGAAGAGCAGGTTGTTTTGGTGGAGATACTATCGTAGGTGCAGAAAAGGATGGTTGCTGTGCTGCTGGCTGCTGTACTGGTAAGGTTTCAGTCGGTTGTTCGTCGCCAACAATATTCAAATCTTCAATATCACTATTAGCAAATTGCATGATTGGTACCGTTGTTCCAACCATTTGATTATTCAAAAAATTTCCTCCACGATTTTCTGTGCCAAAGCATTTGACATTGCCAAGAAGTATAGATGATGCTTGAGCATCGATACCTAAGCGAAAAAGAATTCGATTGAATGCAATGGAGTAAATGAAAATTTTGTTTATTACCAATTATCGTCCCAGTGTATCGGCATTGAGATTTTGTGATAATCGCAATTTTACTACCGATGAAATTACCCGACATAATAATAACTAGACGTGAAGATTACGATGAAATAAAGAGAAAAAAACACACGCACTAATAATAACTTATTCCGTTTGTTTATTATTCTCCCGTTGGATCTTTGTTTGATGCTTAATTTACTACTGGCGACATCTACTGGGAAAAATCATTTTTGTTATAAAAAGACGTTTTCTGACTGTTATTAAACATTCGCTGAGAATTTACCTGTTCGTAGTCTTTGTTGATAAATATTCATCGTCAATTATGATTCGTCGAAGTGATAAAATATGGATCGTATCGGTCTGCATACGCATTTGAAATTGAAAGATAGCTTTCATTAATCTTACAGTTTTACTTGCGTAGATAAACAAACGATGGATGCTCATCAACGAGCTAAACTCGACGAGTATGTCGACCCGGAATTTATCGATAGTTCTGCCGGAGTTTTCCCTCTTACCATTATTATGTCATTTTTGGTCGTTTTTGCGACAATAGCCATCCTTTGGTGGGCAAAAATCCGTTCAAGAGCATCTCGTCGCGGCGAATGTCTTCTTTTATGTGGCATATCCAATGCTGGTAAAACCTTACTTTTTAGTCGTTTGACAATGGGTGTAGCGAAACGAACATTAACGTCGATGGCTGTCAATCGTGGTTCTATGACTTTGGAAAACTCGTCATCGGATCGTCCAGCGAAAAAGGTTCGTGTTATTGATGTTCCCGGTAATTTACGTATTCGTCAACGTGATTTTAACAGTGAAAAAGCATCAGCCAAAGCAATCATTTTTGTTATCGATAGTACAACTATTAATAAAGACAGTAAAGATGTTTCCGATTACCTCTATGATATTTTACGTGAAAAAACCTTTCGTCAACAACGTTTACCATTACTAATATTCTGCAACAAACAAGATCTCAATAACGACAATGAAACCACTCAGTCAATTCGGCAATTGTTAGAAAATGAATTAACTATGAAACGCAAAACACGTACATCATCGGTTGCTGTCCATCAAGGCAAAGCTGAATCAGCTGATGATATTGGTCGAGCCGGCAAAGATACATTTGAATTTAGCGATGTAAAAGATCTTCAGATTGAATTTGTCGACGGCTCATCATTAGGCGCAGAGAAAAAATCTTATGCCAAGCATTACGATGATATTGACGAAGACGATATTATTAGTACTGGTGATGAAACTGATGCTGAGAGTGGAGCCAATTTAACTAAAGTCTATGATTGGATTGAAAAGATCTGGATAAAATAATCGAAGACAATATTTTTATGTTCCTTTTTTGAATCATTCGTTATCATCAAAAAGAAAACTAAACAGTCGTTAATTTTATTCTAGATGACTAGATTTGCCAGACATAAGAAAGCGAAGAAACCAATTGGAGAAGACGCAACGTCATGGGAAGATATGAAAGAAACAATGACCGCCGGCGATAAGCGAAAGGAAGAAAAACGTTTGGAAAAAAAGCGAAAACGAGAATTGAAAAAGATCTGTTTTCGGTGTCGAACGCCAGGACATTCGATGAATGAATGCACGGCGGAAGTAGCTGACGAACAGAAGAAGAAACGTGAAGTCAAAACTGGTATTTGTTATAAATGCGGATCAACGGAACATCGATTACAGCAATGCACAGTAAAAGGCGATTCATTTGCCTATGCAACATGTTTTGTATGTGGCAAACAAGGACATTGGTCACGTTTATGTCCAGATAATCCCAATGGCTTATATCCCAATGGTGGATGCTGCAACGAATGTGGGTCGAAACAGCATTTCAAAAGAGATTGTCCCACATTGATGAAAAAACAAGGTGAGTTCGAGTAGTTGAGATGATGATTTGGTTACTATATATTTTTTAGGTATTGATGATCAAGAACTACCTTGTTTGACATCTACAACTAATAATATCGATGATAATGTTGAATCGTCCAAAGAGAAGACGATTGTAAAAGCGAAGAAACCGGCAAAAAGACTGAAACTTGTTAAATTTTAATTTGTTGTGTACTAACTAATTGTTTTTTTGTTTTGGACTTTTTTCTAGATAAATAAAATGAAAATCGCTATAGAAGGTTGCTGTCACGGTGAATTAGATCGTATCTATGAAACAATCAATCAAATTGAGACTGAACGACAAATTAAAATTGATCTACTATTAATCTGTGGCGATTTCCAATCTGTACGTAATGAACATGATTTGCAATCCATGGCTGTGCCACCAAAATACCGTTCTATGCAAGATTTCTGGCGTTATTATTCTGGAGAAAAACGTGCGCCGGTACTAACGATTTTTATCGGCGGTAATCACGAAGCAAGCGATTTTCTCATTGAATTACCATATGGTGGTTGGGTCGCACCGAATATATACTACATGGGTTATGCAAATGTTGTTAATTTCAATGGCTTGCGTATCGGTGGCCTATCAGGAATCTATAAACCGCAAGATTACAACATAGGACGTTATGAATTACCTCCATTTGACGAAAGAACCATTCGTTCGATATATCATATACGAAGTTTAGATGTTTACAGGATGAAACAAGTACAACAAGGTAAACTCGATATTATGATGTCACATGATTGGCCGCGAGGTATTGTTTGGTATGGAGATACACAACGTTTATTACAGCGTAAACAATATTTTCATGAAGATATATATACGAATAAACTTGGCAGTGAACCGCTCGAAGAAGTTTTACTTCAAGTTCAACCGAGATATTGGTTTGCTGCGCATTTACACGTGAAATTCGCGGCTTTAGTAGAACATACTAACGGCCAATCTACACGTTTTCTCTCTTTGGATAAATGTTTACCAGGACGAGACTTCTTACAAGTAAGTAAAGAAATATGCGAAGAAAGAGCTGATTAGAGTTTCTATCGTAGGTTCTTGACATTGAACCAATAGTTCCAGCAACTAATCCAACCAATCGCTTATCTCTTGATCCCGAATGGTTATGTATTCTAAGTAAAACTGATCATCTCTTGCATGTCCAAAGAACTAATACCTTCTTACCATCACCGTCACAAACTTTGTTTACTCCAACAGAAGAAGATTACCGGAAAGTTCATGACGACTTTTCGAATACCTTCGAGATTCCGGAAATGTTTGCTCCGACAGGTCCTGTACATAGACCAGGTTTAGGCAATACTCCAATTGATGTTGAACAATTGCGAAAAAACAATCCTCAAACAGAGTTATTATGTCTTATGCTTGGCATACGAAATCCGATTGATGTTATTCTTAATCGACAGATTCAACCTGTAACATTAGATCAAAGCAATTAAATGAATCATTT